AAAAAAAAAAAAAGATTCTTAGGATGAGTTTCCTAAATTGATTCTCAAGTCTGACTAGTCTGGAAAGTGCTGATGACTCTTTTTCCATAAATAAAGTGGCCACTACTAATTCATGATATGAGGTGACGTATTAACATGTTACATGTTACAGTGATCACAATGAAAACTTCTGTGCAGTTTTGTCAGAATGAGAAGCATAGGGAAGCAGATTGGTTGGTCTACTTAATGCTGGATGAACTAATGAAAGAAAGAGGTGAGCCCAGGGCTTTCAGAGTTACAACTCAAGTGCAGCATAAAAGGCCAAAGTTTCCATGTGTGCCCCCCCAAAAAGCCCTATTTCTTATAGTGACACAGGTGATAATTGCCTAAAACCAAATCCAGTCTTTTTTTTTTTCTGTTTTGAGAAGGAAAAGGAGAAGTTTATTTTGCGCTTCCCGGGCTAGACTCCAGTAAGGAGTCAGCAAAGTTGAGCTGCCTGGGAGGGAGGGGAGCAGAGAGGGAAAGAGAGAGACAGGAGCCCTGAACTCCCTGGGTGAGCCCCATGGGCCCCCAGTGGGGGTCCTGAGAAGTCGCCCTTATCTGTGGTGGAGAGTGAGTTTTAAGCTGGTCAGGAGGGTAAACAATAAAGGGAGGGGGTGGAAACCTCAGAAGGGTAAACAAGTAGGGAGGGAGCAGGAGCTGCAGCTGCAGGGGCTTAAGCCGCCTCCATCCATGAAAATTCCCAGGTAGACTGGTACCTTGATCATTGGGCCTGATGCCAAGCAGATGGCTTATTGATCTGGGGCCCTTTGAAGTTAGCCGTCTTGGTCCTATAGGGGTGGGCAGGCAGGCTTTTCCTAATGTCCCCTGACTGGTACCTGACCGAACAGACATCCCCTCACAGAAGGGTCTCAAAGAAGAGATGAGCCAGTCAGGGTGCCAAATCCAGTCTTATTGAAAGAATACCTGAATTAACAACATCCGTTGAATTCCCAACCCTAAATGATATCTGAAGTTAAAAAGGAAGCATTGTTTGAGAAGAAATGGAAATTTGTAGCTTGGCATGGCTACATATAAACAGATTAGTCAGAAAAATGAGGACAGTGTGCCAACATATGCCATTGAATTGCTCTGGCCAACAATAAGAGTGTTATCCCCATTTGATGAGATTATGCCAGATTAGTCATTGTCTTAGATATCCCTTGGAATGGCACCTGGGAAGTTGACTGGGACATTGTCTGAGTCAGGTGCCTTGTTAGACATTGAGTGGGACCAAGAACATGGAACCGCTCTGCTTCAGGCTGCCGTGTAAGCGTGTCTGCCACTTGGGCCGGATGATCTGGTGGATGCACTGGTGCTTGAAGAGTCAGTGGCAGATAGAGATTCTGTTTGGAGGTCCTATTGATAAATCACTGTACAGACCATATGATTTCAGAGCAAAGCCCAGCCACCCTCTGCAGAAAACCATCTTAGTAAAGATTGCATGGGCCACTTAGTCACCATGTGGTCTGAAAAACACATCATGAATCGGATGCTGTCGATCTACTGAGTCATAAAGTTGGATGAGCACATAAGTAATGAGTACTCGGTTATTAAGTGGAGTAGCTTGAGATTGGGCTTGAGCAGGATCTGAAGGCACAAGTAAATTGCATGAGGAAGTGACCCATGATCCTGTACGGCTGCTTTTCCTGTTTGAGTCTGTACCTTTGGCTGCATGGACAGTTCGTAGTTCATTATGATCAGTTACTCAGTTAACTGAGTAAAAGAACACTTATGCCTGGTTTACAGATGGTTTTGCATGCTGTGCAGACAACACTCAAAAGTGGACAATAGCAGCACCGCAGCTCCCTTTTGGGACATCCCTGAAGGACAGTGGTGAAGGAATATTCTCCTAATCGGCAGAATTTTGAGCAATGCCCTTAGTTGTCACTTTGCTTGGTCAGGGGTGAGGCTATACTGATTCATGGGCTGTTGCTAGTGGTTTGACTGGGTGGTTAGGGATTTGGAACATGATTGGAAAAGGTGACAAGCAGGTGTGGGGCAGAGGTCTGTGGCTAGACTGCTCTGAAAGGGCCAAAGAAATTAAGATATTTGTGTTTCGCGTGAGTGCACACAAATAGGTGATCTTGGTAGAGAAGGATTTTAACAAGTAGATGGTATGACATGTTCTTTGGAACTCTGTCCTCATTTCCCCAGCCACTCTTGTCATTGCCCGGTGGGCTCATGAACAAAGTGTCTATGGTGGCAGGGTTGGGGATTATGCATGTGCTCAACAACATGGATTTCCACTTCCCAAGGCCGACTTGGCTAAGCCACTGCTGAATGAATGACCGATCTGCCAACAGCAGAGCCCTGCTCTTGAGTCCTCATTCCTCAGTGAGTAGCCAGCAACTTTGTGACTGGTTGGTTCCATAAGACCACTTCCATCATGACATGGTAGCAATTTGTTCTTACTAAAGTAGACTCTCCGGAATGACCATGCATGGATTACAAAGTGCCTTATCCTCCATCATGGTATCTCACAAAGCATCACCTCAGATCAAGGGACTCACTTCAGAGCAAATGGAGTGTGGCAGTGAACCCATGCTCATGGAATTCACTGCTCGTAATCTGAAGCAGCTGGAATGATTTTATAAAGACAAGTGGCAGTTCCTTGCAGGGTCTGGTCAGTGTTCTCCTGGAGGCTGTATATGTTGTAAACTAACACATGGTGCTGTTTCTCTAACAGCCAGTAGTCTTGGGTCCAGGAACCAAAGGGTGATGCAATGGAAGTGGCATCATTCAATATGACCCTTAGTGACCAACTTGCAGACTGCTTGCTTTCTCTCCATGTGACCCTATGCTCTGTGGATTTGAGGTCTTTGTTCCCCAGGGAAGTAAATTGGAGACGTTAAATTGGAAGTTAAGAATGTTATGTTGGGGCACCTCATGCCCCTGACTCAACAGGTAAACAAGAAAGTTACTGTTTTGATTGCTGTTATCGATCCTTGATTACCAAGGGGGAATCAGCTTGGTGTTCTATAATAGAGGTAAAGAAGAGTATGTCTGAATATAGGCGATTCTTGATGATGTCTCTCCTAGTTCTACCCACCGTACTCCATTTGCTGTGAAGTGATTCAAGTCAACAGAAAGTACAGCAGCCCAGTTCTGGCATGATTACTAATAACCCAGACCCTTCAAGAGTGAAAGTTTGTGTCACTCTACAGAAATAAAAGCGTAACCAGCTGAACTGCTTGCTGAGAGCAAAGGGAATGGAGAGTAGCTGGCGGAGGAACCTAGTGCTAAAGTTCTAAATACTAGCTATGATTATGTGACCAGTTACAGAAATGATGGTTTTAATTGTTACTTAAGATTATTTAAAAAAAATTTTTTTCTTCTTGTTTAGGTGCATCTTGTATTTTTGGTTTGTTCACTTACAAAGTAAAAAATGTAAATGGAACTAGTATGTTTTCAGGTATATACATGTTAGTTTTATCATGTTAAATGCAAATATGATTTTATAATTGTCTTTATTTAGAGATTATGTGCTGTCAAAGGAGATGTGTACAGATGCAAGTTAACGAGGTGTCAGTGAGGTTTAAGCCATATCCACTTGGGCCCTAATTCTCAGTGGTTTGGCAATTACGTGATGATGTTATTATCACTTCTAAGTTGAGATGGAATGCATCGGAACCATCTCCATGATGGAATCCGCTTTGAGGAGCCATTGAAAGGGAGTCTGGCTTATGTTTAGTTTATGGGTATATTCTTACAAAGCTCTCTTGTTTTTTTGCTTATTCTGGATCGATCCGCATTTAACTTTAAATTCCTTGACCTTAAGCTGGTGGTCTGCTTTAGTGCTTGCCGAACTTGGTTTGGTTGCATCTGCAGGCTGTGGGCCAACAGCTTGCCGTCTGATCTGCTAATCTTGAATTTTTTAATCCTTGCAGTTGGGAGTTAGCTCCAGCCTGACCTCTGACCACAAACGTGAGGTTTATCAAATACGATCCATTTCCATGCCACAAATTTCTCTCTGTGCATATATGTTTCCGTGGTTTGGTTTCTCTAGAGAACCCAAGACAAGGATGTAAACAGCAGCGTGTGTTTAGATGTGGAGGCAGAATGGTGCCTGGTAGTATGGGAATCTTTATGACTTGGAAAGAGCAACAATGATACTTGCTCTGGAGCCCTGGTGATGTAATGCTTATGAGTTGGGCTGTGAGCCGCATGATCAGCAGCTTCTCGGGAGAAAGACCGGGCTTTCTACTCCCGTAAACAGTTAACAGTCTTAGAAACCCACAATAGGTTGCTATGAGTCAGCATTGACTGGATGACAGAGAGAGAGCACTAACTAGTGCTTGCTGTGTGTCAGGTACTGCTGGAAGTGCTTTATACAGATGTTAAATTGTCTATCGAACAGTTGTATGGAATAGTCATTTTTTTATAGGACTCTGAGTCAAAAAATGGCTTGCATATAATTACAGTTCTAATTTGTAGTAGCTCTAATATAGAAATTTATGTAGTCTTATTCTAGTATAGTCTTCCTAACCACCTTGCTAGCATGATCTCTTGAATGTTGTTGTGTTTTTCTTTGCAGGCATTGCCATCTTTTGCATGCTGCTCACCTACTACATGTGGATCAAAGCAGTAAAGACTGGCTCCATCTATTGGGCAGCCAAGTGTGCTCTGGCTTACTTCTACATGGTAACTTTTCATCCCATCTGCCCAAAGCGTCTCTCTTTGTTGAGTTCTTTTTGGAGTCCACTGATAGAAGCTGGGAGTCGTGCTTGGACTTGCATTAATTGACTAGAGCCTGGAAGCCTTTTTTGTCTCCACATAAAGCCTATCCTAACTGTTTCTAATTTTTAAAAAGTACTCCAAATACTATGTTTTTTAGAAGCAAATATTGATTGAGCCACCTTCTTGTATGCATACATTTGTACTTCCTTCCTTAAGTGCTCACCTTTCTTAGATATCCCTAAATCTTCTATGTGACCCTCAGAGTAGAGTGATGTCTAGTCCAGTCTAGACTAACCCTCTTCTGCGATCATGATGTTAGTAACCAAAGAGAATAGGGAATTGACTGATCACAGTGGGTATGACTTTGATTTTCTTACTTAAAAGAATCAGTCATTTAAATCTCCTTAAGTTGTGTGTGTTGTTAACTGTGAAGAGATGTACTGTGTAAAGTCACAAGTGATAGCCAAGACCAGGGTTGGCAAACTTTTGGGACAGAAGAGCCAATCCTGTCCCTCACAACAATTTAAAAATTATTCAAGAGCCATAACTATATTTTTTGCACACACATGAAATCACCATTATCTGAATAATATTCTTTAAAATTTTTATAAATGAAACTGAGAGTTTTATTTTCGTTTTCAGTTTTGCTTCAGAGCCGTATATGTACCTACCAAAAGAACCGCATATGGCTCTCAAGCCACTGTTTGTTCACCTGTCCTAGACTGTAGTGGCAGTGTCCTAGAGGATGTTTAGCAACTTCTCTTTATATCCTGTTGTAGGTCTCTTCATGGGGAGGTTATGTGTTCCTGATCAATTTGATCCCTCTCCATGTCCTGGTGCTGATGCTCACAGGACGCTTCTCTCACCGCATCTATGTGGCCTACTGCACTGTGTATTGCCTGGGTACCATTCTTTCCATGCAGATCTCCTTTGTGGGATTTCAGGTGAGTCCTAGACTGTGAGATTTTCATCTTTTTTTTTCCAAAACCATTTTTTTCTGGGACCTAATACAGATATCATATCATTCCATAGTTCAATCAAATCAAGTAGTATTGTACAATTTCTATCACAGTCAGTTTTTCATCTTCTTATGCAGCTCCAACTAGATTGGTCTCCCTTAGATTCCAATAAAATAATAAAACTTACTCCCAGGTCAGCTCTTGGCCGCTCGTGTTAGCTAATGCAAGGGAATCCTTGACCTCAGAGTCTGCCTTCAGGGGTATGTTACTATTCGCTATGAAATTTGAGTTCAAGGGACATTCTCTGTCTTAGATTTGTGGGAGGGGCTAAGATGTTTTGCTTGAACTGAGTTGGTATGTTTAATGATAATTTCTGGGCTTTTTTGATGTTGTGATTCCTAAATTTCTTTGTCTTTTTTTAAAAATTAAGATAATTTTATTGGTGGCTCTTCTAGCTCTTATAACAATCCATCCATCAATTGTATCAAGCATATTTGTCCACATGTTGCCATCATCATTTTCTAAATATTTACTTTGTATTTGAGCCATTGGCATCAGCTCCTCCTTTTTCCCTCCTTCCCCCAACCTCCCACCCTCATGATCCCATGATAAATTATGAATTATTATTATTTTCATATTTCACACGGTCTGCTGTCTCCCTTTACCCATGTTTCTGCCATTCACACCCCTCTTTGGGGGAGTGGGGGTTTATGCGTCAGTCATTGCGATCTGTTCCCACTTTCTTTCCTCTCCCCCACCTTCCCTCTACCCTCCTAGATTTTTTATTGAGGTTCAGTATATGTCCTGTAGGAAGTAAATCACAAACTTTTAAACTGCATGACTATCAGGTGAGTAGATAACTATTAAGAGAGAGAAATGTGGTGTTTTGATTTTTTATGTAAAATTCTCGTGCAAGTGGCCTTTGCTCGAGCTGCTTCCTTACCGGTAATTCCCTCCCCTCCAAATTCCTACTCACTAAAATTCTCATTCTTCACGACTCAATCAATATAAAGGTTCCTTCCTAATCAGCTGAACTGGACTCAGCGTTTCTCTCTTGTATGTTCCACAACAATTTGTATTTCACCTACCACTTTTCATTATTTTTTTCCTGATCACCTTCTATGTATTCTTTGCTAATTCTTATGAAATGTAAAAAAGCATTAAAAATGACTGTGGCTTTATCGAAGTTATAGATGTTGTGGTTGTGTTGGAAAGAGATCTGTGAAGCCAACTTCACAGATATAGTCTATATTATTGCTCTGAAAGTAATTTCTAGATCCATCACTAAGGAAGTTGTTAAAAGATGAAAATTCTCCAACCCACTACAAACCTACTGAATCAGAAACTTTTGGAGTGGGACCCAATAATCTATATTGAATAAAACTGTTGAGCCATTAACTGCAGGGTTGGTGGCTCAAACCGATCAGCTGTTCTGCAGGAGGATGAGATTGTTTGCATCTCTAAGGATTTACAGTCACCTATAGACAACAATTAGAATAAGGGTTTCTGGGAGGCATGTAGGGAAGGTGGGGGTTAAACGGGAGCTGATATCAAGGAGTTCAAGACAGAAGAAAATGTTTTGAAACTCATTGTGGTAGCAATTGTACAATCCTGCTTGATGTGATTGAACTGTGGGATAGTATGATGTTTGGATTAACTCCTAATAAAATAGAGTTACAGTCTTGGAAACCCTATGGGGCATTTCTACTCTGTCCTACAGGATCGCTGTGAGTTGGAATCTACTGGATAGCAGTGGGTTGGGTGGGGTTCATTTGGCATGGTATAAGGGAAGGAATGAAACGTGGTAGACGAGATAGAAAGTTCTATGGAACACACAAGATTCCAGTTCAGCAGATTGGGAAGTGGCCTTTACATTGGGTCCGGAAGGATGGGAATTTTAGAGTGGGCATTTGGGGAAAATGAAAGGAAAAATGTACTCCAGGCTAAGGAAATAACTTGAGCAAAGGTCAGAGATTGATGGTAGTACATGATTTGCTTTGAAGGACAGCAAATACTTTTTGGAAAATATGGCAGATCAATTAGAGCCTTCCTAGAATGTTCTTGATTTTCTGGCAGCCTTATTACTCTTTGGACCCTTTAGTCTAAACTTCAAAAGCCAAGTAAAATTCACTGCCATCAAGTCAATTTTGACTCATACTGACTCAGTGGCAGAGAGTAGAGCTGCCTACATGGGTTGCTGAAGTTGTAAATCTTTACAGGAGCAGAAAATCCTCATCTTTCATGCAGTGTCTGATAGTTTCAAACTAATGCTGACCTTGTGATTAGTAGCCCAATGTGAAATGAACTAGGTGTGGACAATTTGAGACCGGGCCAATTCATTTTTCCCTCATTATTATTCCCATACCTATGCTTTCACCTGCAGCCTGTTCTTTCATCAGAGCACATGGCAGCCTTTGGAGTCTTTGGTCTCTGCCAGATCCACGCCTTTGTGGATTACCTGCGCAACAAGTTGAATCCACAGCAGTTTGAAGTCCTCTTCCGGAGTGTCATCTCCCTGGTAGGCTTTGTCCTTCTCACCGTGGGAGCGCTCCTCATGCTGACAGGTAGGGAAGGCTCGCAGCATTTAGTATTAAAGGCAAATGGATATGGTGTAGACTAAACCCTTAAAAGACTAGCTATTTCCTGAGTAAAGAGAGATACTTGTTTTCCCTTCTATTTTTCTTTCAAGCATATGTATTACCACTTCTTCACATTCGAATTGACCCGGGCCACAACAATTTGGAGTCAGCCTAGCAAACTGTTTTATTGAAGCAACTCCTAATCTCAGAAGAAGCACTCCTAGGGAAAGATCTTATTTCCTAATCTTTCTCTTCCTTTCTTTAAATAAATAAATTATGTATATTTAATATATTGGTAGGTTGGAAGAAGTCTTATTGTCTGCTGAACTCTACAACTGGGCCATTCATGTAATCCTTTTTTTCCATGTAATCCTTTATAGACTGTAGGCATTGAGTTGGCTTGGCATGTCACATTTTCTTTCTTCCTCATTTTCACTAGTTGCACTTTTCAGAGCCTTATTTGATTTTGCCCAAATCCCTGTGTGTTGACTGATTCAGAATAACCCTGTAAGATCAAGTTGACTTAACTTTTCAAGTTCCCTTTGACCTGCCTCCTTGCCCTCTGAGTATTCGTTTGCTGGCTGTCCTGCTAAATTAACTCTCAAGTTTAATAGAGAGAAAGGAGTAGAACTCTCAAAGTGTTGGTGACATTTAAGCCAAAACCTGGTTCTCCTATCTCTGAGAATCTTCTTAAAAGTTATGATTAGTTAGGATTAGATATTCATTTGTTTCTGGAATGTTTTTGAAATACATGTTTTCATTTTATTACCAGGAAAAATATCTCCCTGGACTGGACGTTTCTACTCACTACTGGATCCTTCGTATGCTAAGAACAACATCCCCATCATTGCGTCTGTGTCTGAGCATCAGCCCACGACCTGGTCCTCATACTATTTTGACTTACAGCTCCTTGTTTTCATGTTTCCAGGTCTGTGATCCAATGTGGCCTCTTGCAGTAGTTAGCATTTTATTCAAAACACGTCAACTGCCCTCATTCATGTTGTCTTTGATTCTGTGCAGTACAAAGTATGACTAAGTATATAACAAGAGATACTGACAAGTTCAAAGCCTCATAATTTCCTGTGTCTTTTGACCAATTCAGACCTTCTGAAATCTAAGTCACAGAATTTATCAGCAGTAGTAATCTCTTTCGTTTAAAAATAGCTTTTTAATGAAGATTATGATAGTGAAAATAGTTACTCTATTGAAAAAATTATAGACAAGTGTAAAAGAAAAAGGTTAAAAATTGCAGACCTTCTCTTTACTTAATCTGTAGCTATATTTTGTTACATGAAGGTAAGTCAAAAGTGTTGCTACTAGGGTTTCTGTTCATATATGCCAAGGTTATTCTAGACAAAAATCTCAAACTCCCTGTCACGGATTCAATTCTGGCTCATAGTGACCCTATAGGACAGCCTAGAACTGCTCCTGTGGGTGTCAAGACAAAACATGTCTAAACGTGTCTACAGTTTGTGGATGGTAGCAGACAAGTTCTCTTAGTAATACACTTGTTATGGTGCCTTCAAAAAAAGAATACCTTTTGTGCCATCGAAAATAACCGTTTGAGATCAGAGCCAATATAAAGTTTTTAGCCGTGCTCATGTGTATGTTTTCCCAAATCACTGAAGCATTGCAACACGTTTGCAGGAATTCTGCTCCGCACAAGAGAACATTTCAGGTGGAGCCAGCATGTTAAAGAAGGTTGGAAAGACCTCAAAGATGACCTCAAGGCAAGAGGTCAGCTTAGATGGTTATAGTGGCCTGTTCTTAATTCCAAATGCTTGTTAGATTTTCTTAAAAGGCAATAGTTCATCATGGAACCATTAGGAAGAAGTTTTAGGAAAATTGAAAACTGAAGTGGTGACAAAAAGGCCAAGAAACTTGGGCTAAGGAAATTTATTTATTTTTGTTTTTTTGTGAATAAGAAAGAGGTTTATGGACAAGAACAGTTGAATATTGAGAAAGCATCTCATCCCAGTCCAGATCAAGTTCATAAGTCCGGGAAATTTTTTTTATCATGATATTGAACCTGCATCATTCTCCAAGGGAAGCAGTGGTTGTCCTATATCCAAGGGAAACCATACTCCATCTGACCTTTAGCCTTGCTTTTGCCTCTTTAGACTTCTTTTTGTTCCCCAAATTCAAGGAACATTTCAAAGGAAGGTCGCTTGAGTCCCTCAAGGGTGCTCAAACGACTGTTTTGAAATGGTATAAGCTGAAAACCACAGAATTCTTTGGCGCAGGATTAGCATTGTATAGAACTTGCTTGAGAATTTGCCAAGAACAACAGTTTGATATTTTTGTTTTATTTCAAAAATTGTTAAAACCATTTCCACAATTTTGTAGCAACACTTTTTGGCATACCTTTGTATGGTCATCTAGTTATTTAATGAATAAACACATTACTGCATTTTTCTTCATTAAAAATAACAATTTCTCAGTTATTTAGTATAATAATAATATTTAAGATAAATATAGTCATTTAAGTGCAGAGATATTAAAGAAGGAGGTAAATGGTCCATAAGTTCTAGTAGCGGGATTTTAATTGGTATGATTTTCATTTTATAAATATAATTAACTGGAGCCTTATTGTTGGACATGTGGTTGCTTCTAATATTTTGATAGGTTAAGGAGCTAGGCTGGACTCTAAATTTTTGCACATATGTGTTATTGCTTTATCAAGATAATTTCTGGAAGTGGAATTGGTGGGATAAATGTGTGGAAGCATCCAGTTATACATTGATGAAATTTTCTTTGTAGGATTTTACAAGGGCTCAACTGCTTACTTCTTCCCTCTTTTGTAGTTGGCCTCTATTACTGCTTTAGCAACCTGTCGGATGCCCGGATTTTTATCATCATGTATGGTGTGACCAGCATGTATTTTTCAGCTGTAATGGTGAGGAATGGATGCCCCAGTTTTAGCAAGTTTTCTACCTTTCATTCTGAAGTGCTCTTTTTTTCCTGCCCCACATTATTCAGAAAGTACTGATGATTGCACAGGTGCTTCTCTCTGAGCATTTAACAGGCTACCACATAGTGTTTATCCTTACCAGGAACGTAGGAGGCACTAGCCATTGAAAACTATGGAGCATAGTTTTATCTGACACACACGGGGTTACCATCAGTTGCAGTACACGCGAGCAAGTAGTTTAATAAAACAGTATTTCCAAAACTGTTTTGATTCTAAGTCACAGGCAAGAAATAAGTTTTATATCATTATTCAGGATACTTAAGGGGGAGCTTCAAAAAGTTCATGGGTGTATTAGTCTAGGTACTTTAGAGAAACAAATCCACAGCAACTCATGTATAAGAGAGTTTTATGTAAAGAAAGTGTGCATCACGAAAACATCCCAACCCAGTGCTGCCCAAGCCCACAAGTCCAACATTAACCCAACATCAGTCCACAAAGTCCTCCACCTCACAAAACAGAGGCAATGATGCCGACTGCAGGAGGAAAGCTGAGTCGGTGAACGAATAAGCATCTCAGCACTAGCATGGGTCTCCACACGGCTGCTCCAGCACCCAGGGCTGCATCGGGATAGGTCCATGTGGCTTCTCCTTGGGGATGTCTTGTAGGAAGTCAATCTTGCAAGCTGAAGCAGGGAACTGCTAAGGCAGCTGCACCCTGGTGCGACCATCACAAAACAAGATACCTGAGAACTAGAAAGGCGAGGCTCACCACCCATTTATCCCTCCGCCTTTCAATTAGCCCCACATGTGTTTATCGGCCAGGTTGGCACAATTAACTAACTCAATGGGAAAACTGTATGAAAAGATAATGGAATTTTCCCATGAACTTTGAATCCCCTCATATTATTGAAACAAAGTTTTAGAACATGCTTCAAATAACCCATTCCTTTAAATGCATCAAGTACATTCTCTTCTTTGTTTTTCTATTTCATTGAAAAATCATATTGTGATTTCTAATAGGTTGTAGTCTGTAATTTGCAAAAACCAATTAGAATGTGATCCTGCTTCATGTCTTTTAGGTACGACTAATGCTAGTACTGGCACCTGTCATGTGCATACTCTCTGGCATTGGAGTCTCCCAAGTGCTGTCCACATATATGAAGAACCTGGACATAAGTCGTCCAGACAAGAAGAGCAAGAAGCAACAGGATTCTACCTATCCTATTAAGAATGAAGTGAGAATTAAGCAATGCTGATAATAAGCTTGGGAGACACTTTTCTGTGTGTGTGTGTAAACAGAGTTGGCATAGATGGTCATAATTACATGGGAGACTTCATGTGCTGTGTGTGTATATGTGGTTGTGTATATGTGGAAGTAGAGAATTGGCATAGATGGTCTTAGTTTTATAGCCTGGACTTGGTTTGGTTCATGTCTTATGTGTGAATGACTGAGAAACGGTACTGTGTTGTATACATCTAGTTTGGTTTGCTTCACAATTCTTCCTTGTTTATAGGTGGCAAGTGGGATGATCTTGGTCATGGCTTTCTTTCTCATCACCTACACCTTCCATTCAACCTGGGTGACCAGTGAGGCCTACTCTTCTCCCTCCATTGTGCTGTCTGCGCGGGGTGGGGATGGAAGTAGGATAATTTTTGATGACTTCCGAGAAGCGTACTATTGGCTTCGTCACAATACTCCAGAGGTGAAGATTTGGGAGTGGTGGGAATGATGCGAAGGGGCAAACCATTTGATGCTGTAGTGAGTCATAGAGCTTTTAGATGGCTGAAAAGCTTGGGTAAATTGGAACTGTGGAACCTTTGTCATGAAAAAGTTACGTTGATAGCTAATCTATACTCAATTTAGGGATTACATTGGTAGTGTCCATATTTTGAAGGAGCCTTGGTGACACAATGGTTAGAGCTCTTGGCTGCTAACCAAAAGGTTGGCAGTTTGAACCCATCAGCCTCTCTTTCTGAGAGATGTAACAGTCTACTTCCAAAAAGATTATAACCCTGAAAAACTATGGTCCATTCTGCTCTAATAGGATTATTATGAGTCAGAATTGATGGCTGTGAATTTGGTTTTGATTTTGACGATACTCTGATAATCACCTAAAGTCTGCCTGGACACTTGTATTGACAGGATTGTGATTTTGTCATAAGAGACCATCTGATTATACAAATATTTATGAAAAGAAGGAAAAATTTACAAATAAATAATGCATGTTTATTGTAGGAAAATCAAAAATCAGAAGCATGAAAAAAATATAAATTTATAATGATAAATACTTAGCAATTTAGCTTATGCCTTTTGGTAAGTTGAAGTGATTAACCTTCTTTCACAATAGCGTTTGAGAATGTTGTTGGGTGCTTGCAAGTCCGTTTGTACTCCTAGTAACTCTGTCTTTTGACAAAGTAGAGCTTCCCCATAGAATTTTCTAGTTTTGTGGTGGGGGGTGAGTGCAGAGTGGCGACTCAAAGCCCATCTGTATGTAACTGGACATCCCCTTACACAAGGGTCGTGGGGAGGAGACGAGCCAGTGGGTGCAATGTAGCATTGATGAAGCACACAACTTTCTTGTAGTTCTTTAATGCTCCCGCCCACCCCCAACTCTCATGACCCCAATTCTACCTTACCTAGACCAGAGCATGTACACAGGTATAGATAAGAGTTGGAAACACAGGGAATCCAGGACATATAAACCCCTCAGGACCAATAATGAGAGTAGCGATACCAGGAGAGTAAGGGAAAGGTGGGGAGGACAAGGGGCAACCGATCACAGTGATAGATATATAACCCTCTCCCTGGGAGACAGACAGCAGAAAAGTGTGTGAAGGGTGACATTGATCAGTGTAAGACATGAAAAAATAATAATTTATAAATTATCAAGGGTTCATGAGGGAGGGGGGGGCAGGGAGGGAGGCGGAAAAATGAGCTGATACCAAGGGCTAAAGTAGAAAGAAAATGTTTTGAAAATGATGATGGTAACAAATGTACAAATGTGCGTGACACAATGGATGTATATATGGATTGTGATAAGAGCTGTCGGAGCTCCCATTGAAATGATTTAAAAAAAAAAAAAGAATTTTCTAGTTTATTCATTACAGGAGGAGCTGCTCACCAAGTCATTGTCCTACAGAGTCGTTGAGTGGGTTTAAACTGCCAACCTTTCCATTTCCCCCAAGCTCTTAACCACTGTGCCACCAGGGCTGTTTTCTATTGGGAGTAGCCCTTTTAAATCAAATCCTTAATAAGTCAAACTTGATGAATCTTAAACCTTCTCCAATATAATCTATGATTTGTGTTTCGCCCTGTCTTTTTAATAACCGATCTTTGTGGTATTATTAAAAGGTTGTTCACTTTAATGGAATTATGTGCAACCGCAGCCTATTTATTTGGAAATGTTGCATGGCCCTCATGCTTCCTACCCCAGTACTCTTGGTTTATGTAAAGTGAACTTGGATGAAAGTATTGGGCATATTGGATTATTCCATTTGAACCGAGACTTCATGGTGGAATATAAATGCAGGAGTAGTTGCTAAGAGCTGTTTTGGTTAGCTGTGTATTACTCTGTAAAGAATATTATTGACTAAGCCTCATGTCGTATTGATTTGCTTTTGATAGGAAATAATGCATTTGCTTTTGGGAAGTAGTGAGTAGCCTCTTATTCCTAATCCCCCTTTTTATTTCAGGATGCCAAAGTCATGTCATGGTGGGATTATGGCTATCAGATTACAGCTATGGCGAATCGGACAATTTTGGTGGATAATAACACATGGAATAATACCCATATTTCTCGAGTAGGGCAGGTAAAGTGCAGTTTATCTTTGTTTTGTTTTTTTAAGTGTTTGATGTGCATTGTCTAATGTGAAATAATCTTCCTTGAGAAGATCATATGACCTGGATTTTTCTCTGAGAAACATGCATTTATTTCTTTAGGCTATGGCATCCACAGAAGAAAAAGCCTATGAGATCATGAGGGAGCTTGATGTCAGCTATGTTCTGGTCATCTTTGGAGGCCTCACTGGGTATTCTTCTGATGGTAACGTACTTAGTCTATATCTACTTAGAGGGCAGTAGAGGCTTAGAAAACTACCAATCTCCTGTTTTTCTTGCCTTTTCATTAACATAGAGATATTTCTTTGGATTTTGGGCTCACACTTAATTCTAGCCTCATTCTAAGGACAATAAATTCTTAGGACATGGCGCTGCTTGATACTCTCATGAAGAGATAATTGAACATGGGTGCTATAGCAAAGTATGGCAAAGAAACTAGATGGTGCCTGAAAGAACAATGTCTGCCCATCGCTGGGGCATGAAAAGTGGGTGAAGGGAGACGTTGGACTGTGTAAGAAGTGACAAAATAATAATAATGTATAAATTATCAAGGGTTCATGAGGGAGGGGGAGCGGGAAGGGAGGGGAAAAATGAGGAGCTGATACCAAGGGCTCAAGTAGAAAGCAAATGTTTTGAGATTGATGATGGCAACAAATGTACAAATGTGCTTGACACAGTGGATGTATGGATTGTGATAGAGTTGTACGAGCCCCCAATAAAATGATTTTTTTAGAAAACAATAGTGTCTGGAGACTTACAGGCTTGTCTTCAAACAGCAGCCGTCTAAGTGAGGTGTCAATTAAGTCCACGTGGAGGAAGCACACCAAGTTGTGTGATCCAATGATTATAAATAATACAATCCAAATACAAAGGAGAGAATGTATCAGAGCTTAGATTGTGAACACCTGGTTTGTAGAAGGCTGGACAGTGGAAGCCCAAAATCCATTTGTAGCATCCACACATGGATTACGTCTCTGGTGAATTCCCTATGACCATAGTCAAGAGATGTAAATAGCCCTGTATCAGACAGGAGGTATTGCAAAGTCAAGTATGGCAGATGTAGTTTGGTTAAAATATAATATGTTAGCATTTAATCTCCCTTTTGACCTATTTTTAAATTGTCTCAGTTTTAAAAGAAGGAAGTGAAGGAGAAATGCACATGAGACTAAGCATATAAATAGCCCTGCTGTCATGCAGGGTGTATTGGAAAGTGGATTATTGCAGATGCAGTTAGGTTACAATGTAACACCTTATCACTTGATCTCCCTTTTGACCCATTTCAAATTTGTTTTAGTTTTTAATATTTTTCCGTTTTAGTTTTTATGGAGAATTTTGTTTGGTTTTGTTGTTAGTTTTGCTTTTTTCTTTCATTTGGTTTATTTTTCCATATATGAAATTCAGGGTAGATAGATCTACAGAGGAAGTACTGGGATTAGTGGCTTCATGAGGTTATGGCAAAGGAGGTTTCTGGGAGATGGGGAGCTAATCACAATGCAAGAAAGAAGAAGATGACCTATAAAATTGATTGTAGTGATAACTGTCTAACTCTTCTTGATGTGATTTAACTATTGAATTGTCTGATAGGTGAATTATATGCCAATAAAAATGTTTAAAAAATTTAAAAATGAAAAAAACCTTAACAAAAAAAGAGATTTCTTAGTTGATGAAGCTTTTAAGTTCTTGTATTTTCAGCTTAAAGTTCATTACTATTTTTTCTGTTTTTCAATTAGGAATTTTCTCTTTATCCCGTAGGACACTACAAAGTTAGAAATTTTACAAAGACCTAATAATCTTTAAGTCTTCAAAGAGATGGTCACAGGATTTTTAATTCTGCCATAGCCCTCACGCTGAATAATATAGTAGTCCTAGTGAGACATTATTTGGAAGTTAATTTTGCTTTTGGAGTGTGGGAGAAAAAAAAAGATGATTTTATTTTAAAGACGTAAAAGATAACCAGTTGATGTTGCATCATTTCCACCTTATGGTGATTCCATGTGTATCAGAGAACTTTTAATGGGTTTTTAAAAATATAACAGCTTTATTGATATAATTGATATACAATTCACTCACTTAAAGTACACAATTTGTTTTTAGTGCATTTATAAAGTTATACCACTATTGTTTTTTGGTGCTGTAGAGTCGAGTCAGTGTTATCGCCCCACGTGACAGATGAGAACTGCCTCAGGTTTTTCTGGAAGCTCTACTGAGGACGACCCTGTTGACACTTGAAGTACCAGGGAATAGTTCCCAGCATCAAACAAAACACCAGCCACCATAGTAAGACAGACAGACAGACAAGTGGTGGAGGATAAAGATAGCTTTGGCAGCTGTCCTGGTAGTTCCTCCCAGGAGGCAGTGTTGTCACGGATAGGTGTGCAGAATGGTGTACACGCTCACACACATAGATGCCATGAAATAAACTGATGGGTATTGCCGAGGTTGCTCATCCTCCTCATGAGAATGAAGATTAACCTTGCCTAAAGTAAATATAATGTGAATTTAGCTCAAAACACAATTTCAAATGAGGAACTCCAAAATGTTTTTGACATTTCAGTATTAAATGATACACGCTCCAAAAATAACATTTTCTTTTTTTTGGTAAACCTTTTTTGGGGGCTCATACAACTCATATCGCAATCAATACATCCATCCATTGTGTCAAGCACATTTGTACACTTGTTGCATCATCATTCTGAAAGCATTTTCCTTCTACTTGAGCCTTTGGTATCAGATCCTCATTTTTTTTCCCTGCCTCCCTGCCCCCCTCCCCTCACGAACCCTTGATAATTTAAATTACTATAAAAATAACATTTTCAAATTGGTTATAAAGCATTTGGGTATAAAAATTCAATTTTCTTCATAAAAAGTCTCATTATTTTATCAACTCTTTCTGGGATGTTCCGAATTTAGCTTCTTTTGAATATTAGGACCTATGGATACGAGTTGCTCTTTCACAAGTCATGTTTATTTCATGTTACCTTATTTTCATTAAATGCTTACTCAGATCTACAATGAAATGTCTAGATGTTATATTTCAGATTTTGTTATATGAAAATATGCTAATGTTTTGAATTTTGTTGATAACATCTTTCAACTGAAACCCTCATGCATGTAATTTATTTGCTTTCACTCTCTCGTACTTGAGCCTTGTGAGGTTTTTGCTTCAGCTACATCGGCTAGGAAGCTATAGATATGTACCTCTATGATGTCTGTGTTGCTTGCCCAGGGGTTTGCTTTTGATCCTTTCTGGTTGAGTGACCTGGCCTAATCATTTAATTTCCATGTCTTGGTTTTCTGTGTATAAGGTGAAGATTAGAATGCAGAACCTACGTGAGGCTAAAACCCACCATTAAACCTGCCATCTGAAAACAAAACAAAAGACCCAGCCATCTACTTAATTCCAACTCATCTTGTTATTAGGTGCCATCCAATTGGCACTTACTGATGATGTCATTCCCAGCACAGAACCATAAGATTTTCTGATTCAGAATGGCTAGTATCAGTCCATAGCAGCTCACTAACGCCTAAGATACCAGTCTTTATTTTACTTTTGAGAACTTCCAATTTTCATAGTACATTCCAAGTTTGGATTGAGTTGCTCACCTTGAGTTGGCTCCTTCAGCAAATGAGGATCCCCAAGGCTCCCTTTCCCATAAGCTTTACTCTATGTCACCGTGATAGACTCTCGTTTTGAGAAAGCAGCTTATCAGTCACATTTTGAGGACCTTCTGGCCAAAGGGACCCACTAACTCATAGGGCTTCTGAAGCTGTAAATCGTTATGAAAGATACTTTTAACCCAGAGAAGCTAGTGGGTTCAAACTGCCAAACTTTGCCACCAGGGTTCCTATCCTACATGACAATAGTCATGTTTTCTTGATGCATATGTGACATATAACATTAAATATTTACATGCTCTTACACTTACTGTGAAGCCCTTTTGTGGGTATTCTTATTTTTCTAATTTGGTTGATGAGAAAAATGAAGTACAGAAAGGTTAAGTTACTTGTGTAAGGTCACTCAGCTAGAATCTGCAGAGCTAAAATTCCAACCTAGGCAGTTTTGATCTAGAATCTTTGCACTTAATTATTGTGATATCTCTGGGACAATTTGCATGATGCAATAGGAACCTTATTTTTCCTGGTCAATATTTTTTATACTGGCCATCCAGTGAAACACATAACAACCGATTTCCCCACAGCCCGTGGCTACGTAGAGGCTGTGTAGACAGTAACATATTCTAAGAGAAACATCCTGAATTGATGGTGGTATCAGTATTTGAAGAACCTGGTAGTGTGTTTGACATTAAAATGTTGACTTCTCATATGTATCTTTTGGGAATTTTGCAACTTTATATGTCTTTGTAGGTTTCTGTCTTTTAGGCAAAACTTTTACTCTACATCAGTGCTGTTTAACAGAAAAATAATGGGAACCACACATGTAATTTTGAACTATTATGTGTACATTAAAAGGTGCTCTGGTAGCATAATGGGTTTTTTCATTGGGTTATTTACCACAGTCAGCAGTTCAAAGCCACCAGCCACTGTAAAGTAGAAAGATGAGGCTGTGTACTCCTATAAAGATTGAGAGCCTCAGAAACCCAAAGGACCAGTTCTGCTCTGTCCTGTATGTTCAGTAGGAGTTGAAATCGACTCGATGGCATTGAGTATTTGGTTTTCAATAAAAACTAAAAACCTTTCACTGCCATTGCCACTTCGGACTCCTAGCAATTCCATAGCACAGAGTAGAACTGCCCCTGTAGGTTTCCAAGACTAACTGCTTGAGGCAATAGAGAGCCTTATCTTTCTCCGGAGGTTTCAAACTGCTGACCTTGTGGTTAGCAGCCCAACTCGTAACCCAAATCTGCAACCAGGGAGTAGAAAGGTAAGGGTTTTCTACCCTTGTAAATATTTACAGTCTTTGAAACTCACAGGGAGCTATTCTAGCCTGTCCTTTAGGAGGGTCAGTGTGAGTTAGAATAAACTAAATGGCAGTGAGAGTTGGTTTTTAATAGCCATGTTAAAATACATAAGAGATACTAAAATGGCATAAATAGTATACTTAACTGAATAAATCCCAAATATTATTTAGAATGTAACCAGTATTTTTTAATTACTGATATTTTACATTTTTAAGACAAAATCTTAGAAATTTAATATGTACCTTATGCTCATAGCACATCTTATTTGGACTATCCACATTTAAAGTGCTCAGTAGTTACTATATTTGATAGTCGAGTCTTAGCTGATCACTAGGACGAAAGAGCCCTAACTAATGGGACTAAAATGCTAAGTACTCTGGACATGCTGTGAGGGACCAGTCCTTGGAGAAGGATGTGCGTAGTAAAGTGGAGGGGCAGTGAAAAGAGGAAGGCCCTCAGCGAGATGGACTGACACGGGGGCTGCAACAGTGGGCTCAGACGTAAGAACAATAAGGCTGGGTGTGCCTACGTAGGGCGGCTGTGAATGTCCACCCACTTGAGGGCACCCAACAACAGAAGAACCCCCCGGTGGCCTGGCAGTTAAAGTACTGTGGCTTTCTGTGAGAGAAAAGACGTGGCTGTCTGTTCTTGTAAAAATTCACAGGCTAGATGACCCCATGGAACAATTCCGCTTTGTCATACTGAGTTCCTTACTGGGAGTTGAAAACCAACTGAAGGCGCTTAATAACAATACTTACGACCTAATCCTGAGCATAGTGTTTCAGAAGTCTAATTTACAGGAAATATTGTCTATTAAGGGAAAAAGTTGAGTCCTTATATTATCAGGGACTTGAGATAGTATCCCTTTTTTCTGTTTTTACAAATTAGCGTTAAATGGGAAAATGTTTTGAGGAAATGTCTTACAGTATTTTCACTGACTTTTGTGAGGCTGCAGTTTCTTTCTTGGTGTTGAGAGTATACAGGACAGAATATTCACCAATTCAGCCATTTTCTTCTCATTCCTAGATATCAACAAGTTTCTGTGGATGGTCCGGATTGGAGGCAGCACCGACACAGGCAAACATATCAAGGAGCATGACTACTACACACCAACTGGGGAATTTCGTGTGGACCGGGAGGGTTCTCCAGTGCTGCTCAACTGCCTCATGTACAAGATGTGCTACTATCGCTTTGGACAGGTGTACACAGAAGCCAGTGAGTGATCTGTAATAACATCAATAACAGTAGTGACAATAGCCAGCACTTACATAATATGTTCCACTTACACCAAGCATTTATTCCTTACAACCCGAAAGGCAGGTATTATTGTTATTCATACTTACTTTGAGCAAACTGAGTTGCAAATAGTTTTCGTAACGTACCCAAAGACCGAGTGTTGGCAGAATCATGAATCAAACACTGGGATTTTGGCTTTAATCAAAGGGCATTGTAAAAGGGGATGGAATGACCAAGAACTTCTTGTTTCTTTATGGGATTGCTGAGATTAAATTGGTCAATTTCAGCCTCCCCCTGACTGCAGTTACTGGTTTTATACTAGGGAGAAATTCTGAAGTGGGCTCTGGCTTTGGTCTGTAACAGTTTGTCTCTGATCTGTGGAAGGGTCACTCGTATGTCATGGAAGCCTCTGGATGACAGTCCTCAGGGGCAGAAGGGCTTGGACGTCAGCCACTGTTTCCTAGAAGGGTTATATAAGCTCCATGAACTCTGCCAGCTATCATCTTGAATTAGGCGAACACTTAGTTTGCTTCTCTTACCTACCATATATACTCGTGTATAAGCTGAAATTTTCAGCACATTTTTAATGCAGTTTGTGTGGTAAAATTAGGTGCCTCAGCTGATATTCGGGTTGGCTTATACTGAGTATATACGGTAATGCCTTTTTTTGCAGGCCCTACTCTCAAACTGCTGACGCTAGCATTCCAATTAGTGGTTGATGTACTCAGTTTGAGATAACATCTGCTCAGGGAATCAGCACTGTTTAAAAAGATGTGATTCTAGGACCGGTGGTGTGGGTGGCGGAACAGGGAGGGTAGAGGGAGAGTGGGTGGGGAAGAGGGAGCCGATTGCATGGAGCTGTGTGTGACCTCCTCCCCAGGGGACAGACAACCGGGAAGTGGATGAGGGGAGACGTCGGACAGGGCAGGATGTGACAAGGTGCCCATTTGTGGACTATCGGGGGCTCACGCGGGAGGGGGGAGCAGGGAGGGAGGGGAAAGGTGAGGACCTAGTGTCGGGGGTTTGAATGGAGAGAGGGTGTTTTGGGAAACGATGTGCAAATGCGCTTTGCACAGTTGATGTGTGTATGGATTGGGATGGCAGTTGTGTGAGCCCCTAATAAAATGTAAAAAAAAAATAAAATAAATTAAAAAAAATAAGAATATAAGAATAAAAAAATAAAAAAAGACCTTTTAATATCCAGGCAAAAAAAAAAAAAAAAGATGTGATTCTCTTGTTTTCTGTTCCCTCTAGAGCGTCCACCAGGCTTTGACCGTGTCAGAAATGCTGAGATTGGGAATAAAGACTTTGAGCTTGATGTCCTGGAGGAAGCATACACCACAGAGCACTGGCTGGTCAGGATCTATAAGGTAAGAAGATGCTCGACTGTCTCGGAGACCAGCTCTCGTGGGTGGAGCGGGTCTCGTGGTTGGAGAATGGGTGCGACACTGATGCAGCGTAGCCCAAACCCTGCCTTTTTTCTTTTAAGATCAATTTTAGAAAACAGACATTCCATTTTACTTCAATTTTAGCAGTTGGTGCAGTGATTCTTTTGCATTTGGAGCTTGATTCAAACCATGATTATCAGGTTTGGTGGAAAAAAGCAAGTGAGTGCAGCTTTGCTTTCAAATGATACCTTCTTCCCTCCCATTGTAGAATTTAGGCTTTCGAAAGTCATATGGTAATGTCTTATTTCTCTTGCATAAGTAAAGATGGAGGAGCCTTGATTTATTTCGAGGGTGGATCGTTTCTTCTCTTAACAGAAGTTTAAACAGTAACTAGCCTTTAGCCATTGCTGGTTCCTAAAGCCACAATGCAGTAGTCTTCAATGTAATGTCTGCTTCGACGGGCGAACCTCACTCAGTGGGAAAGTCCAAATTTGACCTGACTGCAGGGACTAACTGACATTTGTATATTGCAGGTAAAGGACCTGGATAATCGAGGCTTGTCAAGAACATGAAGGTCACGTCACGCGTAGCTGTGATGTGCTTTGCACTGATAGCAAGCATCACGTCGAGATGCTGAGATTTTTTTTACATGCAGTGATTAAAATTGTCTGGAAATTTTGCCCTGGGCATTAGGGGCTGGGCCAAATGAATTGATTTTTATAATTCCGAGCAAGTTACCAAATGAAATGTTATGACTTTACTGTGGTGAATTAAAGGGGGGGATTTTTAAAATAATGTGCCTTATTTGTTTTGAGTTATTTCAGGAAGGCAAAGTTTATGCCGAACTGATAAAAGGAGCGATAATGATCTTATCTGTATTCTTAGCTCCCTAAATGAACCAATTAGACCATTTCAATCAGTGAGATTATCAATGACCAGCACAAATCCTGCATATACAAATACTTTTGTCAGCCTTTCTACATTGGGACACTTAGCACTATATCTAGCACATAGTAGGTGCTCAGTGAAGTTTTGTGGAATGAATCAATGTTTGTGGGACCTGGGAGTTTTGTTTCATGTACAGAAAAAGCAGCTATTTGCCATCATATCTCTGTTTTCAATGTCATTTGTTCTTGGGGGCTCTTCCCGTAAGAAGGGACTGACAGTGTTTAGCCAGACCTAATCTTAGAAATACTCTTTGAGACTGGTCAGGTTTTTTGGGTTTTATTTTGATTTATTTGTCTGTTGTATCAAGAATAAGTCAAGCATGAGTAAATCAGCGTAGAAGACCAAGGCCAGCAATGAAATTATTCCCAATGGAGAAGAACCACCTCCTCCAGCATCATGTACAGAGCTGATGGTCAAATGTCTTTGTCAATTTAGATACACAAATATTTACCCTCGCCCTGTTTGCTGTTCCTGTAATCAAACCAACCAGACCGATGATCTGGTTTGGAACCTGTGCTAAATAAGCCACAAGTTAGAAGGGGAATTACAGTTAGTAGGCATAGAGTTACAGTTAGTAGGTACCTGTGAACCGGCACCAGCTTGACTGAAGGAAAGAAGAGAAATTATAACAAAGTTTAACTCAAAAGTCCGCTGATCTCATACATAGTTGATGCTAGGACAAGCAACTTTATGTTCACTGCTACAAGAGCATATATTTGACAACATAAGGCATGTATCATACAAATCCTGTCATTAAAAACATATAAGGTAACAAGTGTTCCCTGTTTAAGGAAAAAGGAGGGATTGCATGGCTTTTAGATTGTAAGTCAAATGGTGCTTTTAAAGAGTAATTCAGAATACTGGTAGACCCAGAAAATTTGGCCTTCCAAACCATTTTATATACCAACTGCTTTAAATGCGGCTGAGATTTAGATTTGATAAAATATTTGACTGACTATAAATAAATACATTATTTGATTTGTATATAGAATTCCTTCCTAGTGGAAGAAGTTATCCTGGGTTTTATTTACCATTACGAGCTACACTAATTATAGTTCATTAGTGATCTGTTCTTATTTCGTGGGATAACCTTATAATTTATTATAGTTGCTGCTGTTAAGACTTTTTGTAGGGCAACTGAAACCATCTTTGTAATTTTTACTTTTCACTGCAGCCAGTATAAATGAAAAATCAATGCTTTTCACTTAGTGAAAACCTCTTTACATGTTATTTACTTCCATATCATTAAATATTGTGCTTTACCTTACTACTTCTTGGTTTTTCAAGTTTAGGTATTGTCTATTGACTTTATTATGTGAGACTTATGAATTTAGCTCATTTTCACCATAATTATACCCATGAGTACACATATTCTTACTATCTCCCCAAAGTCCTATTATACATATTATATTAGGTCAGAGTAGTATTTAATTTTTACCTTATGAGCCATGTTGTATACACTGCCACATGTCCTGTGTAACATTTTTGTTAGTGGATAATTGCCTTTTATAGTCTTTAAACTTTGCTTTTAGCATTTGACACACATTCATCCCCAAACTCTTAATTTTTGACAGTCTTCTTTTATATGTTCAAACAAAGTGCATATTCATTCGTAAAGCTATCTTGTCTTGATAATTTCAATCTTGGTTTACTCTTTTGTTTACTGAAACACTCTGGTCTTGGTTCACTCTTTCATAGTTTTTTTTTTTTAATTATCTTGCTTTCTTTCTCTTTTGAACTTCGATGTATAGATACATGTGTGTGCCAATAGCCAGATTCATCCTTGATGCAGCACCTCAAAGTACCTTCCAGAGACACTTTGTGAGGAGATACATTTAACAGATAAATTGTGTGTCTCTTCCACATACTTGATTAATAATTTGGATCTAGACTTCCATTTCCTTAGAATTATGTTGAAACCACTGGCTCATTTTTTTCTTATCTTCCACCTATTGTTAAGAAATGTATTGCCAATCTTTTTTTTTTTTTTTAATGCATTTCCTCTTATCCCAGACTTCTCTGGATCTTCTTTTTGTTATGTTCTAACCTTCCCAAGTCTGTATTTTAGAATGGGTACTTCATTGTGCTGGATATTTTGGAATTTTCAATGCGGGAAAATCAGGTTCTCAGAATTTTCTTGAGTTAGTTATGGATTCCTTTTCTCTGGATGTTAAATTTACTGAATTAGTCTAATATAATCTTTACTTTCCTATATAATGTCTTCTATTTCTTGGAGTAATTTCCTCAACTTTACTTTCCAATCTAATTTTCTGTTTTCCTGTCATATTTTTAATATCTAAGATTTTAAAATGGAATATTTCTTATTTGACATCTTTAAAATTAAAAGCTTTCTCAAAATCAACTGTCAGCATTCATATTGGAACCCTGAAATGAAAAATTGATAGGAAGATCTACTGGTTAATAAGGGATAACTGGAAGCTTATCAAATGTGGGCTTCACTGTACTGTGATCTGAGTAAGATTTTAAATTGGGGCATGTCATCTTTGTTTATTCTTACATATAAGACATTTTCCCCAAGCAGGCCTGTGTATTATCTAGCTCAGGAATAAAAGCTATAGTCTGCTAATTTTCTACGAGTAGGGTGGGGGCAGGCCTGAAAGTCAACATTCAGTACTAAACTCAAATGGAATGATCTTACTGTCAGTAAGATGTCCAGGCTTTTAACTGTGTCTGATGTACTTCCGTTCAGTTACCATCTGTTACTCTCTTAAGTCCTAGCTGTGGGATGGGACAATTCCTAGGGTACGTGGAGGAGGGAGGCATCGAGGGGTCTCTTTCTTACAACCTACCCTCTTTCAACCAACCCTCTCTTCAGCCCCATTTTCACCTCCACAGACCTTTTTCAAGTGTAACAAGTCTTGATCTTTTTGAGTTCTGTGATGTAGATCAGTTTGAGTTTCTGCTTTCCCATTGCTGGCTTTGAGAGCCAGCTGTCTTTTCACCTAAAGGCTTTTCACTTTCCAAGATATTCTCATACTTTGCTATGGGTTGTTTTTAAATTTTTATCCTTACTATCATTTCAGTAACATTTTGGATGAAAATATATTCATTCTCCTCTATGCTATTTTTAGCCCGCATTATGGCTGAAACCTGTTTAGCTTATTTTTTTCAGGCTGAAAAACCATAGTCTAAAATCCGTTCAGACATGGATAGAGTTGTGTGTAGGCCCTTCTCATTTCTTTAGTCTTTGTAACACTGTGAGGAAACTCAAGGGAAAAGAGGGTAAAGGACATGAAGTTCTAACTGATGTCAAGGTTAAAACTTGTGGCATCTGTGTTTTCAAATGTCCTGTTATTTCTGTCCCTGATTATTTTTTTAAACAGATCTGTGAATTTTTCATATACTATATTTTACTCTAACTAGCTATGCTAAGTGTATGTGGCCTGGTATTGAGGATTGGAGAATATAATGGAAATTATATTGCCTTGAGTTTTCGGTTTAGTTTAATGACATAGGAAATACCTATTTCAGGTTTTCAAGATTATTGGTTTTCAAGCTAGTCCGTTTACTCAGAATTGTCTTTATCCACTTTAACCATTCCACAAGAAAGGTGATCCAACAGAATGCAGAGATAATAATATCATTATCGCACAGTGAAATTTTACTGACGATAACGATTGTACCACTAAACCAACATGGAACTTCCAGAAATTCAGGCAGGATTCATAAGAGGACATGGAACCAAAGGTATCATTACTAATATTAGATGAATCTCTGCTGAATGCAGAGAACACCAGAAAGATGTTTACCCTTCAAAGGCTTTCGATTATAGGCATCTTAACAAATTAATGGATGTTTCAAAAAACAGGAATTCCAGAATACTTAGTTGTGCTGATATGGTGTCTGTACATAGACCAAGAGGTAGTTGTAACAAGAGGATACTGTGTGGTTTAAAGTTTGGAAAGGTGTGCATCAGTTTCAGTCCTTTCACCATATTAATTCAATCTATGCTGAGCAAATAATCTAAGAACAATTATATGAAAAATGATCTGGGGTCAGGGTTAGAGGAAGTTTCATTAACCTACAATATGCAGGTGACACAAATTGCTGAAAACAGGACTTGAAACACTTCTGTATGGATTACCCCTGAAAACAATCCTCTCAACTGGTAATAATAAATGGCGTCAAGATTGACATGGTCCAGAATTTCATTTTACTTGGATCCACAGTCAACACCGATGGAAAAAGCAGTCAAATTAAACGTATTGGGCAAATCTACTGCAAAAGATCTCTTTAAAATGTTTGGGAGCAAAGATGTCACTTTGAGTACTAAGATGTAGTTGACCCAAGCCATTGTATTTCCAACCACCTTATATGCATGTGCGAGCCATGCTGGTGAAATGCTTACCTTTGGGCTGCTAACTGCAAGGTCGGCAGTTTGAAACCATCCGCTCAGGGCTTTCTACTCCCCAAAAGAGTGAAAGTCTTGGAAGGACACAGGCAGGTCTCTCGTATCCTACAGGATCGCTATGAGTTGGCATTAACTTGATAACTTGGTGAGTTTTGAGTTTGGATATATGCATATGAAAGCTAGACAAAAAGATTAAAGAACTAGTGCCTTTGATTTGTGGTGTTGGCAAAGAATATTAAACATATCATCGACTGTCAGAAGAACAAATCTGCGTTGGAAGAAGTACAGATGGAGTGTACCTCAGAGGAGGTAGGCAAATTTTGTCTCAGTGTATTTTGGGATGTTAGCAGGGGACCTGTCACAAGAAGGACATTATGTTTAGTAGAGGGTGGTGAAAAAGGATGGCTCGAAAGGGGAGAGGGGTTGACAATGGCTGCACATTGGGCTAAAAAAATAGGAACAATTGTAGTGTAGGACCGGGCAGTATTTGTATTATAAGATGCAGTCTCAAAAGTTCATAGACAAAATCCATTACCTTTCAATTCTATTTTTCTCCAAATTCTTGAAGACCCCTTCACACAAGGACCGCTCAAAGTTAGAACCAACTCCAAACATTCTTTTACCCTTTTCCCCTTTGCATTGTAAAATGAGGGTTTTTCTCTATTATGCATGAAGAATGGAAAAGGATTGGGTTAAACAGAGGTTTTGTTTTGGAACCTGTTTTCACAAAACAAGGCACATTTTTATCCTGACTCTGTCTCAGACTACATTTGTGATGCATCTAGCTCTGGTGGTGGTGTGGTTATGGGTGGACTGCCATCTGAAGTCTGCAACCACTGGCCACTCCGCGGGATAAAGACAGGGCTTCCTACTCCTGTAAAAAGTTCCAGCCTCCTGGTAGGGCGTGACCAAGGGTAATGTAACCAAGAGGAATGACTCAAACTCAAATGAAGAGTGAACATGATAGTGGGAAAAGAGGAAAGTAAAAAGAAATAGCGGAAAGAGCTAGGAGGCAAAGGGCATTTATAGAGGTCTAAATACAGGCATGTACATATCAAATATATATATGAGGATGTGGAAATAGATCTATGTGCATATATGTATAGGTTTAGTACTAAGGTAGCAGATGAACATTGGGCCTCTACTCAAGTACTCCCTCAGTGTAAGAACTTTGTCTAATTAACCTGGCATTCCATGATGCTTACCTTCCCTACACAATTGCTGAAGACAAAGCAGGTGCAAAAGCAAATGTAGTGAAGAAAGCTGATGGTGCCTGGCTATCAAAAGAGATAGCCTCTGGGGTCTTAAAGGCTTGAAGGTAAATAAGCGGCCATCTAGCTGAGAAGCAACAACGCCCACATGGAAGAAGCACACCAGCTTGTGCGATCACGAGGTATCGAAGGGATCAGGTATCATCAGAACAAAAAATCATATCACTGTGAATAAGGGAGTGCAGAGTGGAGACCCAAAGCCCATCTGCAGGCAATTGGACATCCCCTTACTGGTCACCGGCAGGAGACGAGCCAGTCAGGGTGCAGTGTGTAGCAACAATGAAACAACTTTCCTCTAGTTCCTAAATGCTTCCTCCTCCTCTCCCCTCCCTCCGCCCCCACCCACACACACTATCATGATCACAATTCTACCTTACAAATCTGGCTAGACCAGAGGATGTACACTGGTACATATAGGAATTGGAAACACGGAATCCAGGACGTACGATCCCTTCAGGACCACTGGTGAGAGTTGCGATACCGGGAGGGTGGGGTGGAAAGGGGGAACCGATAACAAGGATCTACATATAACTTCCTCCCTGGGGGATGGACAGCAGAAAAGTGGGTGAAGGGAGATGTCGGACAGTGTTAAGATATGACAAAATAATTTATAGATTATCAAGG